GATTAGTAATAGTTCTCACTGGAAAGTAGGATTGAAAGATCATAATTAGGATTAGGTTTTGCTGTGGCTGACAGAAACCTCAAATACATTGCTGTGGTCTTGAGAAGGTTAAGCATTGCATTTTTTCTTTCCTGAAAAAGTCTAGAGTGTTGGTGCAGGCTCTTTCTATCTCATTGCTTTTCATTGCATGGACTCACCATGGTCCAAAATGAAACCATCTGTGTTCCATCATGAAGCAGGGCAGAAGGAAAAGAATGAAGGGGAACAGAGCAAAAGGCCCACCCATAATGTCCCTTAAGGAAACGTCTTGGAAACTGCCGCCACTTTCACTTACATCCCATTGGCCAAAACTAAGTCACATGGCCATTCTCAACAGCAAATGAGTCTGGGAAATGTAGTCCTACATATGGGAAAATGCTATTTGGGGGCAACTGGCAGTCTCTGCTTCAGGAGGGTTGAGAATGTTAAAAGGGGGAACACTTACATTTTCTGCTCTGCATACTTCTTCATCCTTTCAGGATTTCCATAGTAAGCATGTAGTACCAGTAAAAAAATTTTTAAATATGTATCTTTGAAAAACAAAAAAACAAAAAAGAAAAACCCTTGAAGTAAATACTTCAAAATGTTAACAGAGGTGATTGTCTCTCGGTGAAGAGGTTAGATATCCATTCATCTTTATATTATTCTGTATTTCCAAATTTGACTACAATGAGAATGTGTTATTTTTATATTTAGGAAAAAAAATTCCCTTGTACCCCTCTTCCCCCTGCAATAAGAAAAAGAAAGATTCCAGTCCTGTTCATCTAATGAGGTTCAGAATGTCAGAATTATTTCCATTCTTCTTCTTTTACAGAGCAACAGCCTTCAGCATTCTCAATGGATTATGCAAATTTGGCACCATCCTGGGAAACACCATATTTGCTTCTTTTGTTGGGATAACCAAAGTGTTCCCCATCCTTCTGGCCGCTGCTTCTCTGGTTGGGGGTGGCCTGATTGCCCTTCGACTGCCAGAGACTCGAGAACGGGTTCTGATGTGAACCATCTATGGGAAAAGGAAAGGTCAAGAGAATCTTGTCCAGGACACTAAAATGCATCCACACTTCCTGTCTATCACGGTCCAGAGGGCATCTCGGATAACATGCGAGGAGAAGTTGACTTTGTGACCCCTAGTTTAGGACCCACTTCAGCTGTCAATATGTTTGTAACTCAGATGACTGTTTTGGGGGTGCCCTGAGCCACCCTTAGAATCACAGAGCTGCGTGTTTAACTTCAGGTCTTCCCAGTCCAAGGAAGGGAGAGGATTCTCCAGTGAGTGCACACACTATGCCAGGAGTAAGCATTTCTCTAAGTCAAGTGCAAGGACTTACTTGCATTTCCAAAGGAATTAGAGGGTAAGAAATACCCAAGCTCCTCCCTAAAGCTC